AGATGAAATGACTGTCAATTAGGGCTGTTAATGATAATTTTAGAAAAGAAATCTGACTTGAATTTAGGAGTAGGTTTTGGTGCAGCTGGTCACATAATAGAGTTAGGAATTAGCATGGTATATTGTTATTCATGATACAATGTGTGAAACTAGAGTCACTGAGTAGAATAGAATCAGATTATGGAGTGTCTGGAAAGTCTGGCATATACTCTTAACAGGAAATGAGGAACAACTGGAGTTTTATAAGGTAAGAGGAATAGCACAATGAAGAAATATCAATCGACCAGAAGTATTCAGAACTACAGGACGGATCATTGTCTACATGTGAAACATTGCAAGCATAATAAAGAAAGATTCCATCAAAAGTAGAAGTATAGAGGATAATGACTTTTAGTCATTACTCAATTCGACAAAACCTGATTCTCTGGAAAATGTCTTTTTTAGAGAAAAACTGCAGTGGAATTAATTGTAAAACTTGGCACACATAGAGATCCAGTTTTCTGGATCTGTGAGACAGGTAAAAATGCAGACTTATCTGCACAAGTGCAATATTGCTATAAAAATAACTTGATTACAGTCAACAAAATTGAGAATTTACCGGTAATGTTAATTTTTTTGCTGAGGAAGGGAAAAGATAGACATGAATTTAAGGCTCTAAGTTTATAATACTAAAGTGTGTTTTGGCTTCTCTGAAAACTTTGGTATGGGAAAATAAGAGATTAGAGCAAGAATTCTGATAAATGAACTTTGATTTCTCTTTCTTAGTTAGAGAACATATGACTCCCATTTTTTTCATATGGTTCTAAGTTTTTTTCTTTTATTTTGTTTTGATTTTTAACTTGATTTTGTTTCAAATTCTATTGCTCTCTAAGATTAGAAATTTAAGTCTTTGAGAAAGACATAATCCATATATAAGATAAATCATGTGGGCTTGGATATTCAGACACATATTAGCAAAGATCATATCTGCTTTAGTATAAAAGACTTCAAGAATTTTGAAACTTCCACAGCATTATTGTTATTTGCCATAAATAATAATAGGTGAAGTTGTCTCCTCTTCTGAGGTCCTAAATCAATACTCATTTGAAAAAGTGTTGAGAAACATGTTAGAAGATTGGAAAACTGAGTTGCTGGCTGAGTTGTGAGTAGTTGGTAAAAGTTAGGTGTCTGGGAAAATACTTATTTTGTTCTTTCAGAAGGGAGAGGGGTTGGGAAGATGGAGGGAGTAGAATTTTTTGTGAAGGTAGTGATTAATGAACTAGACCTTGGAGCACAGGTAGGATTGGCTAAGATAGGAAGTTGCCTTTTTTTGCCCAGGAAGGATATAGAGGCGGGAAAGTTGGGACCTAGTAAAATAATGTGAGCAAGTTGAGTAAAAGAAATCTGTGGTTTACAGTTAAGGTTGAATTAAGGCTAGATCGTAAAGGACCTTCAGTGGGGTCTCCATCTACCATGACAGTGGCTTCAAAAATGTTCCCCCCAAAAAGAAATCCCACGAAACATACTTACTCTTCCTACTTTAAATGGTCTCTGATAATTTCTATTCTATTTTATTCTGCATTGTTTTCTTTATAAAGAATTCTGGCATGACCCACTAAAGTAATTATATATTCTGTTAAGAGGTCAAGACCGGCATTTGTAAACAAACCCTGCTCTAGTGAAGTTCATGTAAGTGTCTGAGCTGAGAAATAGAGAAGGGCTTTAGGATTTTGAACTGGACTGGTTGCATAAATGACTGGAGGGGAAGAATCACCCTAGCTCAGGTGGCTATCATGGACAATAAAGGAAATATTTGCTGAATTAATGAATGTAAAGTGAGCAAGGTCATTGCAAAAAGTGCCGAGGAGAAGGAATGAGAGAATAATCTAAGGTGAGGAGAAGGGAAATGAAAAAAGCATGTAAGACACAATAGAGGGGAGGACCAAATAAGATTTTTTAAAAATAAAATTTTAAAAAATTTTTAAAAAATAAGATTTAAAACTTTTTAAAAAATCATGTCTCTGTACATGATTATGTCTATGTAAACATTGAATTAGTCAAAAATAAAATCAAAGGAGCTATAAAAAAAAATGCCTCAAAAACCTTTTAAAATATTATATGCAAATCTAAGGTACTCAAAACTAAGCCAACAGGTAATGTATTGGAAAAATTCTATAAACTTAAGAGGAAAGGAAAGAAACATTTATTAAGTGTCTGTTGTGAGCCAAACATTAATATGTGCAGTTTCTCATTTAATCTTCACCACTCTGTCAACCAAATGTTTATGTCCTTATTCTATAGATAAGGAAACTGAAGCTCAGAGATGCTAGGTAGTTTCCCCAAAGTTAAATAGCTAGTCATATCAAAAGCAGACATCCAGATTCAGGTGTGTCTGGTTCCAAAGCTTGAGCTTATTCACAGTTGAAAATTCTGATGATGAAAAAATTTTACAATTATTTTTTAAAAGAATGAGATGTATTCCATTTCAGTACATAGAATGACTTTTCAAACCAACTGTAGTCTCAAAATAATTCTATAATCCACTCTTCACTGTTTACAGAGGAGAATCAATGTTTGTAATTAAATAACAGGTAATATTTTAAAAATAAATTTTTATTAAGTTTAAAATTGCCGTGGTAGTCACAATTGGATGCAAGAGCCGCATACTCTAAAATTTTTAATTAAAAAACAATATTGAGGCTCAGAACAGATGGAAAACTGTTCATTTCTTTAATCATCTCTTTTCCCATTGATTCCACTTGGGGGAACAAACAAGTCATATATCACATTAACACAAAATACCAAGATGGTGGAAACTTTACCCAGAGCTGGGATTTCATTGGGAAGGCAATAGATTTAATGTTAAACTTGGACTAATAACTAAATTCACAATTTCAAAAAAAAAAAAAAAACACCTTAGTAAAAAGGATCTATTTAAGTAATAGCTCAAATTTTTCATTAATATTTTAATGTCAGATCATTTTCAGGTCAGATGCTCTAGGGACTAAAAAAATGTCATTCTCTTTTTATGAAATGAAGGACTTTGTCTTTTATTTTGTAAAATGTCTACATCTTCATTTATCTAAATCCTATATATAAACTTCTTTTCCAAAATACCATGTTGGCAGATTATGTTGTTTGGAGCTGAGTTCCAAAGACGAACACTAAAAATAACCGTTTGAAACAAACAACCACCAAATGTTTCCTATAGATAGGCACAGGAATATTTTGCTTTGATGTGGAAATAACAGCCCGTATCTATAGGTGGCTTGTGACCTGGGGCGTTCTCTTCTGGTGCAGCTGTGGTGTTTGATGCACCATCATCTACATCCTTCCCCAAAAGCAATTTTCTCAGCAATCTAGAAACATTGGTTTCTAGTCCCCAGGACTTACTGAAATTAAAGCTTCAAATCTCAAAACATATCTCTAGTCATAACTTTAAATATACCACCGGGATGACAAGAAGCAGGCCTTCTAAGGAACTGAAGGCCTTGTCTAGGCACCCTTCAGTTCCTTAGAAACTTCTTCAGAGATGATTATTTCCAATGCATAAAGCTTTGTTAGACATATTCCTCAAGCTATAGAGGCTTTTTTAGAATCTCATAATCTTCCAAATTTGGGTAGCTCTAAGGTGGGACATATCAAATATTATCAGGTCTCAAACCTGTTGGCAATAAATTTCCCTCAGAATTCCCATCGTAGTCATGCCTGTTGTGCTGGGTGTCAGGAAAGTCATGGGAGGGGAGATTTAAAAGTTAAAGCCAACAGTTAAGTGGTACTAAACTTATATCTAATCAGAACACACAGATCAATTTCAAATTAATCTTAAGAGATCTTTCTAGTAGGACATTACTGTATCTTTCCCACAGTTTAAAAGAATCATAATTTGATATATCCAGGCCTTTGGGGGGAAATTCCTTATATTTGTGACATACATATATACATTATTATTACACATATAAGAATACGATACATAGTATGAATATAATTTTTTTCTATTATTTCATCTAACCTTTTAGAAGTTGTTAAAGGAAATTTCTTCTGACACTTCATAAAAGAAGGATAAGGAACACTTTATTCAAGGAACTATTGAACTGGAGTTTTGTAGTCAGGGAGAAAGTTGGGGCTCAATTACGAATACGGCAGGAAAAGTGGGAATTTAAAGCCAAGGAGCAGGGTTGCATCAGGGGCTGTAAAATTACTAAGAGGTAATTACATCAGTGGTAAGAAGGATTCTGCTTAGACTGACCTGACTGGTTTCTTGAAAAAAGGCCAGGGGGATCAGATATCAAGGGTAGGGGCTGAGGAATTTGATCAGATATATAGAGTAATGGATTTTTGCTAAACTGACTCAGCAGGATTCTTGCTAAAACCGGATGCAGGAGGTCCAAGTCAGAGCACATGGTGGGGCCCCAGGGAGGAAAGGGCTCAGAGAAGCCTGACTCAGTTTGGTTATGGTGAGTCTTTGTCAAAAGACAATTTAAAATAATTACCTTGAAGCAAAAACTGGCCAGAGGAAAAGTTCATTAAATAATGTCACCTCTCGAAACAATATAGAGATATGAATTATCCTAATTATTAGTTCTGCCACTACCAACAAAATTATTGACTGCTTGCTGGGTGTCAGGCCCAATACCAAGTCTGGGACTAACCGGTGAATAAGACACATTTTGTCTTTGTCAGGGCAGCCCATACAATACAGCAATTAAAACTAACAATTTGTAAATCAATGACAAAACTGCTCCCCTTAGAGCAAGATCTTCAGTAGGTTTCTTCGAAAGACAAACAGGAAAAACAAAATTCCCCTTCAATAAAGACTCCCTTTCTGTTCGTCCAAGAACCCCTTGCCCCTTCCGCAGACCCACACCTAGCTAACTTCCCGGTCCCCTTGCAGGCTCCGCTCCGCTCGCCCCCAGCTGCTGCCCGCGCCGAGCTTCTTGCGCCTGCGCACATTCCAGTCATACCCGCCAGCAGGGGGCAGGCCACGATTTTCTATCCTCAGTGCCAGGCTCCAGCGCCTCTCTTCTCCTAGCTTTTCACTTAGCTCTGGCCTGGATACGCTTCCTTAGCAACTGGTTGCCCTTGGCAACAGGAGGACGCTAGCCCGTTGGCTTGGTTTCCCTGCTTGCTGTCCCAGGCTCAGGCCGAACCATGTCGGAGATCCTGTGTCAGTGGCTCAACCAAGACTTGAAGGTGTCCCAGACCGTGAGTGAGTGACACAGCCCGGGGAGAGCGGGCTGGGGACGAGCGGGACGCTGAGCGCCGAGCGCGGCGCGCTGATGGAAGGTGGCGGGAATGGCGCGAGCTGCGCAGGTGGGGCGCCTGCGAGGCCCTGCAGCGCCCCAGGCCCGTCCAGCAGCCGTCCTCCAGCTCACCCTAGCCACCGCGGGGCTTCTCCCAATGCCACTCCCGATGGGTCCACTCCTGCAGTTTCTAATCTACCGTGTGTTTCTAAGCAATCAGAGGGTTTAAAGAGGCCTCCCTTGCTTTGTGCAGAAAGGAATTTGCTGGATTCTACAGTGTGGCCCTGTCATTGTCCTCTTCACATTCTCAGAAGCATGGCGTGCTGGCAAGCCAATGAAATATGAAACCTTAAAGCCAGCTCCCGCACTACTGATAAGTGCTCTTGGACAAGTTACAATACCTTCTCTGAATGTGTTTCCTCCAGTATAAAATAGACCCAATCATACTTTCCATACTCAACTGGGTGTGTGTGAAATGAGTTAATACAGAATGCGTTAAAATTTACAAATTTTAGCAGTTCTAGCTCAAATTTTACAGACATTAACTGTTTCTGACTACTGTTTATTCTTGCCCAAAGCTGACTTTATTCACTAACCTGATTTTATACCAACCATGAAGTTGCCACCCAAAGTCTCTAAATCTCAACCACAGAGGCTATTTTATATACTGGCACATAAATTTTATATGCTGGCAATTTTATATGCTGGCATATTACCTGTGATAACCAAGTAATTCCAGCAGAGAACTATACTGCATCTCAACTTCTGTTGTTTCTTCAACAGTTTATTCTTAAGCTGGTAATGGTTTTTGCTCAAGTAAGAGGTTTTCAGGCCAAATCATTTCAGCCTGTTTTCCCAGGAACACGTTTGAATAATACCACCTTGCTACCATAGTGCCAACTCAACTTTAGGTCATTTGTAGCATTTACTTGTCAATAGTGTTTATAAAATGGCAGTGTTTACAATTAGCCTTAAGATCTTTAACACCGAAGCACTTCCAGTTCCATTTCTTGAGGCATAAGAAAAACCACCACCCACACACTCCCTGGAAATTGCAATCATTTCTTTCCCAGAATTCTGTGATCATTTCACTGTGTCTCTATTTCTCTACTAAAACATGATACCGATCTCAGGACAATGTTTAGCATTTTTCTTTTCTTATTCCTTTCTCACTATAGGAGCCCAATGCAATATCATGTCCTAAAGTTATCATCTTCCAAAGAAAAGCAATTACAGATTGCTGAGTTTAATTTGGTTCATTACTTGATTAGTAAAAATCACCCTTCGCTCAAGTCCCCAGGAGTCTATTGCATATTGAAACACTTTTGAGAAAAGTAAATAAATTAGTAAACATAGTATGCCATTATAATTGTACTCAGTTTTGAGAATTTTGGTTTTGAGAGGAGGAGAAAGAATTACTTCAGTCTGTGAAGATTAAAGGACTGGAGACTTTTTAAGTAAGAATTTTAACAACATAAAGTTATAAATAAAAAATTCTCAGTGTCTGCTTCCTTGAAGTGTAAATCTGGAATCTGTTAGCAGAAACAGTATTCTGCATCCCATTCACTAATAATACCAGATTCATTTCTTGATTCCAACTGCTTAAAGGAGTCTAAAGAGACAGTCTTCGGTATAACCAGGTTCCATATTGCAAAAGGCTTTCAGGCTATAGGAAATACACTCAGCTATGTTAATGAGATAGGATCTATGTACCCGAAGAAGCACACTGCCAGTTGTTGGCTCCCAGCATTAGCTAAGCATTTAGTTCTGTGGTGTACAGTGGGAGGCTTTGAATATTTTATAGAAACTATTATGGAAGGGACCATAAGTGGGTGTGCATTCTCGGGGGAAAGTAATTTGGCAATTTCTGGATAAGGATTCTGTTAAAGGCAAGGACTTGAAGGTCAGACTGCCTGGGTTGAAATCACTTATCCATTACTTACTAGCTTGTGAGCTTTAAGAAATTTACTTACTTAAATTTCATCATACTCAAATAGGAGTAATAATAATACTTCATTCAGTTGTGTCAAGATTAAATGAGATAATAACTGTAAGGCATTTAGAATAGTCCTTGGGGCATAATAAGTGCTAACCCTCATTTTTCAGAAATTATCATATAAAAATAAAAACAATATGTAAGGACATTTGAACTAGGACAAACATTTATAAATGGATTGTAGGAGCAAAAAGAAAAAAATGGGAAACAATCCGAATATCCTTCAGTAGTGGAATACTTGGATAAATGGAGCTGTATTCATGCTATGTATTGTTATGCAGTTCATAGAAAGGATGAGTTTGTTGTTATAACTTTTAACCTAAAGGATATTCATGTATTTTTGTCAAGTAAAAAACAAAAGTTATAGCTTATTGTGATTAGTATAATTCCATTTTTATACTGACTAAGAAATACAGATGCATACACATATATGAATATGGATATTTGTTTATATGAACATAGAGAAATGTGTGGTGACATAGATAATGGACTATTGACATATACATGAATCTTCATATTGTGGTTTTGTGTAAGCATAGAGAAAAGTATGGAAGCATATAAACCAGTGTACTGGTGTTGGTTACTCTGGGGAAAGAAGATTGTTGGCTTTTTTTAATGCATCTGTGTTATTTGGCTTGTTGCTGGTATTGCCTTCATAATTTGAAAGGAAAATTCAATATAGCATTACAAATAAAAAAAAAAGAAGATCAAACTCCATGTGACAATATAGGAGAGAAAGAGGTTTACTATTTTAGTTGAAATATAGTAAGAATCTTATAATAACATATTGTGGGGGTTACAGATGAGTTATTTTCTCAAATGAAGTTTATAAATAAAAGAATAATAATAAAATTTACTTCTTGTTGAGCACTTACACCAGACCCTGTATGCTAAGCCCTTTACATAGGTTTTCTTATTTAATCCTAACAAACAAACAAACAAACAAACAAAACTAAACAAACCTAAGAGGCATTGTCCCAGATGTACAGATGAGTAGAAGAGGCTGAGAGAACTTAGTAACTTGTTCAGGTTCACACGGCTAGAATTTGAAGCTAAGTCTTTTGACTTGTGCTCTTAGACACTATATTATATATTAGAGTTTATACTTAGGAAATTTGTTTTTTTTTTTAAACTCAACTCTTCCAAATGTATTCACGTGAGTTTCTCTTATAACGGTTATTGTTCAATTTGAAGTCACATATAGTACAGAAATTCAATCGCCGAGGCACGTTGTAACTTCACAAGACATAACATAACCTAGATGCTTAAGTGCCAAAGGTGGTTTCATTAGTGTTTGTTCAGAAGTGACTTGGTCTATATGTTGCTTGCTCGAACAAAGAAAACAGATTTAGAATGCGAGTGAGTGCATTTTCTGCCTTGATGAGGCTGAATAATGGTTCAGTCTTTGGAGAGGCAGTTGAAGCCAATTGATTTCTGGCTCATTCTGCAAGTCAGAAGTGAATTTGAGTAAAGCATATTACATTAAGTTTTGTATTGCCTGGATTACCCTAAATATCAGTGGTAAAGTAAATGAATTCCAATGATCCTCAACAGAGAATAGTTTCCTTCCACTTAGTGGAGGGAGGTTTCTATAGTCTCAACGTATGAAGATTCAAATCTATGTTACTAAATCTAAGGATCTTTAGTGAATCAAATTTAACCAGACCATTACCCCTGGAAAATAACGCTTAGATGTGTAAAGTATTTAAATAGATAAGTTGTGAGTTTTAAGAGATCTTCTATGCGCCTTGTTAATTTTTTTTGTTAAGTGGATTTTCATAAATGACTAATTTTGTTCTTTTATATTAAATTTTAATAGTTTTTGTCTTAAAGCGATATTTTCTATTATTTATCCCAAATGTTAAGAGCATTCTTTATTTGGGTTCCCTTGTGCACTAACTATACTTTGTTGATTAAGTCTTATTTAGACCTTTTCAAAAATGTCAAATTTTATTTTAAGAATAGAGATATTAAAATATTCTATTAAATACTTATTTATACACATTTTATAATGTATTGTGATGACCTTTTATTGGCTTGTGACTTTATCATATCGTAGAGTCATATTAGGGGTCTTTAGATCTGAAAAAGAATCAGACATCACTTAATTCTTCTTTGACATATAAAGTCATTAAATCAAATATGTTTAGAGACTTGTTTAGGGCTATACAGCTAGGTAGGGGCAAGTTAGCAGTAGATTCTAGGTCTGCTGACTTTTCATTCATTTCACTTTTAACCTGTTGTCATTAAACTACCCATTTTCTCATACTTCATTTCTCTGAGTCATTAAGAAATGTATTGCTTCTTATGTAATATAACAGATTTTAATATTTCCTGTCTAGCTCAGCAGTGTTTTCCTTGATTAAAACTTGGCTTCCATTGACTAGAAATTGAGACAGCAAATCTAATAAATAGCACAAGGCGGTTATGTAAATCAGTGTCAAAATATTAAGATATGAAGTCCCAAGAAAAGAATGCCATCCAAATTTTAAACTACTAAAGAAGTTTATAATAATATAAAAATTTTTGTTTCATATAGTAAATCTCAAGAATTATGATAAAGTCTACAAAGAAGAAGATTGATCATCTTATTCTTATACTGGAGGAAAATAAATTGTCAGTGTCCTCCAGCCAAAGGCCACAGGATGCACTTGCAGTTGAACAAAGTTGAGTTTATTGACCTGCTGCCAAGAATAGAGAACACATACCACGGGGAACAGTGGGGCATCTCAGTAAGAGGTATTCCTTGAGGAGGGTTCAAGGAAGCAGTGTTTTTCTTTGAGATGGATCCTGTCAAAAAGCATAGGCATCTCTATGATTGATAAATCTTATCCAGGAAGTAGAGAGAATAAAGCAAGGCAAAGACACAATTCGTAAAAAAGCAGCAACCACTCATTATCAGCTAGAATAGAGGGATTGTTTGGCCATTTTTGTGTTTTGGACAATAAAGTATTTGTCTGAGTACAAACATGATTACAAAAGGATTTCGTTTGTGTCTTGATCTATCAGGATCACAGAGTGCTTGTTTGCTGGTGGTGTGCTGTGAAATTGATTACGTTCAGTAGGAGAATGCCAGGCCTTATCTGTGAGTGCCGGGCCAGCTCTAAATATCTTTCTTTATTCAGTGGCAAAACTTGACCAGAAATGCTATGATGCTATGTTTAGTCTTTCTTTCTCCCACTGAAATGTTTGCTGTAGAAATCAACTGTGTTTGTGTTTGATTACATGTGTTTCTGATGGGAGCGTTATAGCTTATCTGTCCTAAGGGTGGGCCTGTATCTAAATTTAAGTGTCAAATACTTGCTCTCTGAGTATTGGGTTACTTTATGAATAAGAATGTTCATACTGTAGTCAATGAAGATATTATTGAGCTTATGAATTGTCTCATTAATATGGCCTGTTGTCTTGAATTAGGATGCAGTACTAATAACAATAAAAATTGTCACTGAACACTTGCTATATGTCAGGAATGATGCTAAGCACTTTACATGCAATATCTCATTTAGTTCTCAAACCAGCTCTCATGAGGTAGAACCCATCTCTTTCTCTCTTTTAAAGATAAACAACTGAAGCTATTGTAGCTGCCCAAAGTCCAGTGGCTTCTAGATGAGGAAGGAGTCAAACCCAGAGACTCTTTCTCCAGAGCCCATGCTCCCCTCATTACCATTTTGGAATATAGCTTTCTCAGCTGGCTCAGGGCCATTTTGGTGGAGAAGCACATGGACCATTTCACCCCCTGTCCCTCCCTAACATAGACCTTTCACAAAGGCCCCCATCAAAAATTTCAGCAAAAGAAACCTTAGTGATGAGGATCCGATATGCAGCTTGGAAGATCAGAGGCATGTTTGGGTTGTTGCTGAGCAACCTTTCCCCGGATGTAATCATTTTAGAGCTCAGCATGAAGATCCTCACTGGACTCCCGTGGTTTATTTATTTCTCGTATTTTTCATTGTTCCTTGTCCTAGAGCCAACCCACTTCTTCTTTCCCGTAGGATATTCCAATTGTTAGTGCAAATTGACTTATAGAGGTGGCTGTCATCAAATTAGTCATGGTATTCAGAAACATTTAGTGGTAAGAAAAATATGATAAACCAAAGAGGAAAATCATAAGCTTTCCTTTGCTTTTCCTTTTTTCTTTACTGTGTCTCTCCCACCCCTCTGCCTTTCTTTCTTTGCTTCTTATCTGTTTTCTCATACTTTTTAACCGATATATTCCTATATAGTTTATATATTTATTGTATATATTATATATGTTTATATATAATATATAGTTGTATATACTTTTATATTGCATTTTTATATTATATATTATTATGTATTCTTTTTTCTTCTCTTTTATACATGTTTTTGCTTTGTTGCTTTAATCGTTTGCTGCAGTTTTTCACTCATTATTCTCTTTTCTGTCCATGTAGTATACAGTAAATCTGAAGTGTCCTATGCACACAAAACTGCAGATAGATGTTTTTGTACTTGGTTTTTTGTAGTAAACTACTTGATAATGAAATAACGAGTGTTTACTGTTCTTTGACCTTTATATCCATAAATGCCTCTATTTTATCCATATCAGAATTGCCCTATTAATATGGCATGCCAATTAAAAGAAAGTGGATTATGGTTTTATTTTTCTAGTGCTCTCTTTGTGGCAAACAGTTTGCTGCGAACTGGTTGCCTGTTACATTGAGAGCGATGGAATAGGATGCACTTATTCCAGTTATTCAAGGGCTGGACTTCAGGCATACAGTCAACACGAATAACAGGCACAGTGCAAGTCCAGAGGAAGGGAGATGGGGAGTGAGACTCCCTGAGTGCAGCATAGCTCTTGGACACAGAGCTGTAGTCTTTAGACTATTGATAGAATCCATAGTCTGACAATGGCTATTTTTCCAATGGCTCTTCAGAAAACTAGGAGACGGATAGGGATGGGGTAGAGAAGAGAAGAAGAGGTGCAAGGCATATCTAGAGCAGCCAAAATGACAGTGAGGATAGCGGTGGAAGCTGAGACCAGGGAACAGCGTTGGTAGCCAGCAGTGGCAAGTCTCTGAGGAAAGAAGAAAGCAGCAGTGACAATTACAGTATGATGCCAAAAGACAGACAGTAGATTGCAATGCCAGACAGTTCAGGAGCTTACCTTGAGTAAATGAAATCAGTGGGAATAGTTGACATTTTTTAACTGCTGTCTTATTATATTGATTCAACCTAAGAAATGGGGTATTATTAAGAGTATAAAATATTTTGAGAACAAATATTAGGAAAGCTTTGGGCAAAATTGTGGGTTGATGCATGATATGCAACAGTCTTATTTCTATAATGATGTATAGTCTTCAGAGTAAGGTCTCCGTGCCGTGGTCTTTATGGAGCAACTCACTTTACCACCCTGCAATCACACACCAAGCATCACTTCTACAAATCCAACATTTCTTCGTATTCAGTTAGCTACCTTATTATTAGTTAAATAGGTAAAAGAAGACCGTCTGGTATGAAAAAGTTTGCGATACTGCAATGATGTATATAGTATTTTGACTGCCGTTATCTAAAGGACTCTGAGAGAAACACGCAGAGGATTTTGAAATCATTTGAAAAGATGATGGCTTTATCCTATTATAGTATAATATATTATTTTATGTATCCATTTTGTATATCATCCTTGAATACCAGGCAACCCTATATTCTTCACTTTATAAGAAAAGTGACCCCAAACTAAGGCCATTTTTTTAATTAAGCAAATTCTATTTAACACTTTTAAGTTTTTAAATTTTATTACTATTTTTTAATGCAATTATCATTAGGTGCCTCCTATGTGGCAGGCATGATATCAAGTGATTCTCATAAACTACCTCTAATCTCTAAAATAGCTCTCCAAGATAGATATACATATGTTTTATAGGTTCTAGAGAAAAGAAATTCAGGAATTACACAGCTCGAAAGGAGCAGAGCCGCGATGTCAGCGTATGTAGTAGATGTCTCTCTGGCTCCAAAGCCTGTTTTCCTCTGGGCTGTTTCCATTGTTGTGCCAAACAACCACAGGACCAGAGTAACACCCCGCCCCTGCCCCACTGCCCGCGGGCCCCCACCCTCCCCCACCCCGAACCACCGAGGAAAATCTTGACTCTGTTCAGTCG